GTGACTCTCCAACTATATCCATACAGAAAACTATATCAATCTAAATTCCCTATATATATATATATATATATATATATATATATATATATATATATATATATATATATATTTAACTTTTGGTTTAATTTATGAGTTATTCTACAAGTATTCTCATACTAATGCAAAGACATATTATAATATTATATATATATATATAAAGTTGATGTTTTAACACGTTTGTAGATACAGTTTGTTTATTACTCTATATATAGGATAATACCTTGAACGTTTGAGCTGATACTTCAAATTCTTTGATCAATAAAAGGCTACACTATCAATGGACACCATTGATCCTAATGTATACAACACATGTATGTAGCATGCGAGAAAAGTCGCGAAAAATATTAGTTATTCGCCTGTAAATATATTTTTAATATCAAAATTTAATACATCACAATATCAATAAATGATTAAATCTATTATCGATGCAATTTCTAATTAAATTATTCACGCAGAGTAATTTGGTATTCCATCCGCCATATCGTCAGTAATAACGCATTAATGATCAAATAATAATACCGTGTGGCAATTGATATGGGCATAAATAAACCCTTTAGACGACCATTTTGACTCAGTAGCAGCATACTTGTATAATTACTAGGAGAGCATATTTTATTGTTAATCTAGTATTGTACAATGTACTAGGATTATTCCATATAATAAGTTTAACTGCTTCAGAGGTGTAGTGGCTATCATTTACGGCTGTAGATCCGGAGGTCCTCGGTTAGAACCGCGGGTCTGGCATTATTTAGTTATTGAGTCTTTCTATTAAGGGATTATCAATAGCAGCCGGGAGTTGGAAAGCTGAAAGTGTTAAAACCCCCTCAAAGTGCACTAAGGCCGTCGGTCCTGCGCCTGATCTCTCACCGGTCGTGTAAAAGTAACGACCCATGGGTCTTTGAGATTGAAAAGGAATTGAGAGTGCACGTTGTGTATGTGCGTATTCGCGTGCGCTATAGTGCAGCGCGTCGGGCCAAGTTTATATAGTAGATTATATATAAATATAAATTTGGTCTGACCTGGGACTCGAACCCAGTATCTACATAGGACTACCAAAGCATTTACACCACCGAGACATTAAAAATATATAAAACCTGCACAGAAACTTAAATTAGATTTACATTGTTTTATCTTAGCTTAATAAAACTGAGTAGGTTTTAAGAAATAATAGAAATCTATGAGAATTTCTTGTTCTAAAATTAACATTAACAGTATTTGAAACAATTTTTACATGACACTACGCTTAATAATATTTATACTTATAATAATAAAATTCTGAGTCGAATCTGTACATTAAACATTTTTCGGAAAATCTTATTGAAATAGTTATTATTATCGATACAGAGGGCGAATCTATAGTTTTTAGAATTTTTGTCTGTCGGTCTGTATGTCTGTCTAAGAACGCATCACGAAAAAACCACTGGACAGATTTTGATGTATAATGATAATATCTGGTTATCCGGGGCAACATATAGGATACTTTTTATAGCGGAAAAATATCTCATCTCTGAGAAATTTATACTAAACGCTAAAACACAACTGGGGATGAACTGGAGCGGTCGAGGGTGAGTCACTAGTCGAAATATAAATTTTAAATATCATGTGGTAATATGCTTATAATCATAAGTGTAAATAAAACCTGATACCTCGTATAATATGTATGATGTAGTTAAAGTTAAATTACATTGTATGAATATAAATACGTAATAAGCTTATAAAATGTCTATTTTAAGCCGACGAAAAAAAGCAGGTTCTTAATTCGACAAGTATTTTTGTTTTAGTTTGACCACGCATAGTTTTTTTAGTTTCTAAAGCGTAGTCCGATTTCGATGATTTTTTTACTGGATAGGATATACGTCAAAGTCCCATTTAAAATTGAAAAAAAATCCACCCCTAAGAAAAAAATGGGGGATTGATTTTTCAACTACTGAACTTTTAAAATACAATCTTCTTACTTTGCTACTACTTTATATGTTTACAATAAAAATGGAAAAATAAAAAGTTTAAAAAATAAATAAAAAACAACTTCAAAAAAATTACACTAAAAAGTAAAAATTAACTGATTGGTAGTTTTCATTTACTATAGATACCTAATCAGATATTTTGGATATTTTTTATTTTTATTTTGGGAAGTGCATTTATGCATGTATTCAGACCTTTTTAACGTCCCGCTGCTGGGCACGGGCCTCCCTTCCTCCTTTCCCTGGATCAGACCATAGTCCACCACGCTGGCCAAGTGCGGGTTGGCGGACTTCACATATCTTTCGATAACTTACCAGGTTCTCTCAGACGTGCAAGTTTCCTCACGATGTTTTCCTTCACCGTAAGGCCAGTGGTAATCATGTTAGAAATGATTCGCACATGAAAATATCAGAGGTGCGAGACCCGGGATTTTAACCCGCTTCACTCGCTTTCCCAAGCGAGCGCGTTACCACTGAGCTACCACTGCCCACGCACCACTTTACGCATACCACCTTTATAATAATATGATATACTATAATAATAGAGACTATAATATGTCCTGCGCATCTCACATAGTTTCAATAAGATTGGCCGCCGTAACCGAAATTGGTCGGGAGTATATCATTATTAGTTTTTTACGTAACTAAATTAAAACTATCATTCAATGACTTCCTACATCAGAACGTCATCGAACAGCATTATGTTACGATAATCAAATAAATAGACACGTTTTAAATATTCAAATTCAAAACCAGATTAAACATTGAATATTCTAAAATCAAATGTTTAATTACATTTCCATAAACACAAACAAAAGTGATTAGTGATTGGACAATGAGTGCATTGTGTCTAAATTTGTATAATATCGACGTATGATAGACATATCAACAATAAACGGTCAAAATTAATAACTTAATTTATGCATTGAAGATCGTGAAGGGGATCAGGCCATAGTTTACGTTGACGCTGGTCAAGTGTGGGCAGGCGGTTCTATCAGATATACAAGTGTGGGAATCAATTCCAACATGATTACCACTTGTATTACGGTGAAGGAAAACATCGTAAGAAAACCTGCATATCTGAGAGAACCTAGCAAGTTTTCAAAAAACACTCGAAGTCTGTCTACCCGCGCTTTTCCGTCATAATGAAAAAGGGCTCGTGCCTTGCAGTTTTATTTTTACATTATAGTGCATATAGTTTTTGTAGTTTGCATATAGTGCATTTTAAAAATTGATTTGCATATGAAAATATCAAAGATGCGAGACATAAGGTTTGAACTCGCATTTCTTTTGATAGCAACAACTATCCCTTGCCATGACTCTATCATTACTAGGTCTAACAATCTTGTAAATTGAAATATAAACAACTTTTAGATTTATTTAAGAAAAACTATGGACAATTCCACTGTTATTATATTCGCGAAGAATGTCAATCAAAGCAAACCTCTTTAGACAAGTTGACTGCAACATTGAATTAACAACTACATGTAATAACCTATTTAGATTACGTTAAATACCTAAGTTTATTAATTTCTTGTTTTAATTTTTATATTTATTTTGTATTATTTAAAAAAAATTCTTAATTTTATTTTTAAATTTATTATGAGAAAACAGTAGTGAAGAAAAAAATATTATGTGTAAACATTGTTCGAATCTGGAACTATTATGCGCAAAAATATAAGAAATAATAATTATTAGACATTTATGATATAATAGTGCAATAGTGACATGTAGTGAACAGTGAAAACATCGACTTCTTCTCATAGACGTGAACTAAAGCGCGAGCAATAACTAATAATAAGTAAAAACTGTTTAAGATTAAGTAAGTTCTTTAAAACTTATACTATCGTATATAATATGATGAATATCGTATATAATTGATCAATACAGGGTAAATTGTAGTATTCCAATATCAAACTGACGACCCCGTCCAATTGGCACTAGCAGATGCATTAAACTAAGCCAAAGATGGCTATGACATTTAATTATACTGTTCGTCCAAATGTCGAAACTTGACCATATCTATCATAAATCGATCCGTTTATTGACGACACTAAAGCTACTAAACACAAAAAAATAAGAAAATCGCTTAAGGAACAGCCGAGGAAAATGTCTGAAATGTGTTTTGTCTTTGGTTATTTTTATATAGATTTATTTAGTTAAATTATAAAGGTATCCCTTTAATTTAAATATGTGTTATAAAATTTATTTTTGTATGCATGCGATTTATGTCACAGCTTATGTATAGGATGCAGGAATACCGTTTTGTTATATAAATGCCGCTGGTTCTACATTAAAGGTCGGTAATAGTACATAAATAAAAATATAGTCTAATCATCTAGAATAGTATAAAAATCTCTTAATTATGAAACTTTACATAGCGTCTTGTTTGTATTTAAATATTTATTTATACTAGTTTTCGCTTAGTGGTCGAACTTATTATTTTTATTTATTGATAATACTAAAGCTCATCCTTAGCTTCGAAGAAAAAGCTTTTCCTGAAATCGATAGAAAAAGGTACTGAACTTTTTTTGTATTTGCATATTTGTATATAGTTATTGTAGGTGGTACTCGTATATTACTAATACAAATATTTAGTTAATTTCAATTATGCCATGTACATTTTTGTACGGTTACTAGAACTTGATTAAAAATTATATATAATATTACACTTGCTATAATATTTACTCCTTAACTTACATCGACTAAAAATTACTTTAAAATTATGAAAAAACAGATGCAGAGAGCTAAACATTTATCTTATTTTATATATAAGTGAAATTGTTTTGTTTGTATGTAGAGTTTAATCGCTGAAACAACTGTATCGAATCTAATTTTTTCGCTAGTACAAAGCTGCATAATCCCCAAGTAAGAGAAGTTACTTTATATCGAAATATGCAAACGTAGTCGCGGGAAAAAATTAGTTAAAAATGACAACTCACTAATATAATTTTTTCCGGCCGTTCCAAAAATAAACAAAAACAATCAACAGGTCACCTACCTCACTGATCCAGATCTGCCATTCCTGCGCTTTTTGCACTCATCACTTCTCTTATCACTATCACGTATAGTATGATATCTTGGTTGATAACTTTCTAGTTGCGTGTATAACCTCGCGCGAGGCGCGTCTACGGCCCGTTGCGACATGTCCCGTCCGTTCTTTACCGTGGTTGGAACCACACTGATCCTTTCAGCGATCCCCGGCCGACGTTTTTCTTCGAAAGCCACCCGAGGAGGCTTAGGATGCATCAGGCTTATCTTCTTTTTCTTAGCCGTCGATGTCACGTAGAAGAAATAGCCGTTCTTATCCATTTTTGGTGTTGTTGCTTTTACCTGGAGAAGAATTGCAAGGAATGATTTTTTATATAGTTATAAGCTTATATTATTTTAAGTTATGTATATTTTTTTAATTACATTTAAAAAATAACGACGTTTTTTTGTTAGTTATCATTATTCAACTAGCAACTTATCCAAGCTTTACACGAGTGCCTAAATAAATTATTATTATTTTTAATTAATGTAATAAATGTCAAGTTTCTACATGCAAGTAATATAATTCTTCATATATATATCATTTCACTCCAAAAGGTTTGTTTTTTCCAAAAAAAATTTGGACATCAAACTTCATTACAGCAAACTTAATCCATCAAAAATGAAATTTTGAAAGGGAGATAGAGTCCGTCTGGCCCAATAATTCAACACAAGTTTAAAGTACTTTACATATAACTTTAAAAATATATATTCGTTATAAGGCCTTGCTTATAGTTTAGACTTTAGTTACTATTTTAAAAAAATAATGAATAAGCAATGATTAAATATAATCCATCTCCAATTTTTAAAGTTTTTAAACCATTTTTTATAATAATTATTGAGAAATATATTAGATATCCATAGTCTGTTATTTTAATATTTTAAAAATTTTGAAAAATATTATTCCACAAAGACACCTGCCATCTTTATCTCTACATAAATTTCCCCTTATTTTGCGTTCCGATAGTTCCGCTTCCGGGAGTCAAAATAACATTTTATGTGTGGGTGCATAAAAGTCGATGGTATGAATAAATTTACTAAAATATATTAAATTCTAAATATTTTAAAGTTATTTCTGTGTAAAAAGTTTGAATGTATAAAATTTGTTTGACATAAATGCGTTTCAATCAAAACTAAACCCCAAATAACGTACACAAATATGAAAAAAGTTTATTTATAGAACTGTACTAAAATAGGCTCGTGACTACAAATAAATAGATCTGGAATACATAAATTACATTTAATAGATATAATGACTAATTCATACTAATATTATAAACGCGAAAGTAACTCTGCCTGTCTGTTTGTCTTTCTGTCTGTTACGTTTTCAAACTTAAGCCGCTGAACCGAGTTAGATAAAATTTGGTACGGAGATAGTTTGAGACCCTGGGAAGGACAAAGGATAGTTTTTACCCCATAAATCAACCCTTAATGATGTGAAAAGGGGGGTGGAAGTTTGTATGGGGAGTCAACCATTTCTCAAGTAAGGGATATAAAACTCATAATATCTACATAGGTACACATATATTGCATCATATATTGTAATTATAAACAACTAGTTTGCGGCAACGCGGCTTTGCACGCATGGTAAGTGGAATGGAGATAATAATTAGCCGATATCCTTCCCCATCAAGTACTCCATGTCCCTGCCAAATTGCATTCAATTCTGTTCTGCAGTTAACGAGTAAAAATATAACAAACAGATTTTCTTTTATATTTATAATATTCGTATGAATTAAAAATAATTTCATACTATGTGCCAAATTACTACCTAATTGAGTCTAAAACTATGTTTATTATAATTAAAAAGGAATTCAAACTAATATGTATTATTCAGTATCTAAATGGGTGTCTTCTTAGTACTGTATTTGCTTAGTTATTTTTTTGTTTCTTAAAGATGATCTCTGAAAGTACTAAAATTATTCTAAAACTACTTTCACAATTAAAAAACTCCACTATCTCCGAATAACTCTAGTGATGTTTTTAAAAACTAGTGTCAATAACAACTAATCTTATGAAAATCGAATTCATGATTATTTCTTAGATTTACAATTTACAATTTGCCACTGCGCCATATAGTTGTTAAATTTAATTTACATTTTATTCTATTAATATGATAATTCAGTAGTGCGAATGATTGGATGCGTGTTGTTAAGTTATAAGAGCTTAACGGATTTGCATGAACTTGAATTGCAACATAGATCCTATCTGCTATACATAGAATAACTAACTAACGTTATAACTCAATGAAAATTTTATGCACTAGTAGAAAGAACCCTTGCTTTCGCTTGAGCTGAAACTACAAAAAACTCTTTGACTTTATGCAAAAGCTATTTTTGAAATAAGATTCGTAGTTTCTGAGCTTAAAGCACTTAAACACATTTTAAACATCAGTTTTACAATAATGTGTGGAAGTCTGCCCGATTTGTTCACATTTATAATTACTGCTCCGTTCGTTTGGGTAATAACATGATAATATAATAAATAGTCTATGGCCTTCTTCGATATATGGGCTATCTAATACAAAAATAATTTGTCAAATCGGATTAGTAGTTCTTGAGATTAACGCGTTCAAACAAACAGAAAAAAACAAATAAACAAACGAACGAACAAATTTCTCTATAATATTAAGTATAGATTAGATTTTCACTTATAATTTATAAATATTAAAAAAATTGTTGTCCATAGTATTATTACGGTTGTCTCCAAATCCTCGTAAATAAGGATAAACATAATATACAGCTTTTGTATGTGTTAGCATTTTATCTAGGATAAACAAAGCATAAAAACTGTACTGTAAAACGTTAGAAGCGTTCAATGATTTTATTATAATTCAATACTAACACCTTACTATCGCTACATGCGCTTAGAGGTTTAGAAACGTATATTCGAATATTGCGTAAATTTTAAGGGTTTTCGATTTTTCTACTCCACACTCTCTTTTTCAGTTAAAATCCCATTACAATGGGTTAAGTCGTTCCACATATTACTCCAGACAAAGAGAAAGACAGACAGACAAAAAATTTGAAAAGGATTGTTTATGTACTTGTACGAGTATCATGTAAGTCATAATATGTACTTGAGAAAACATACTTATTTTGAAATCACTTTATATGTATAGAAAAAACAGCGCACTGTATTAAAAAAATATCAGGTCAATTAAAATGCAATAGGCGTCGGTTGTATTGAAAAATATATTTGTTGCTTCTCACTGACTTTTTAGACTATCATTTGAAAGGTGAAAAGAGAATGAAGTTTACAATTCCAATAGACGATTGACAGGATGGCATTCAGATAGAGCTTTGTATCGATGTTCAATGGTTTGATGCACGTTTTTCATTTTTTTCAACTTTACAGACTTATTGACTACTGTTTTATTGAATTTTTGCGTTTCAACCATTCCAAAACTTTCGTTTCTATTGTAGAACTATAAATATCTTAATACTAGTGACTCACCCTCGCTTCGCTCAGGTCCCTAGGTACGTTTTGACACTTAGTGTTAAATATATTTCCATTTTCATTTTTTTTTAGATTTTTGCGATGTTTTAATAGTTATTCTGGTATTCGAGGCAGAAACAAATCTAACAAATCAAAAACCTTGAAAATCGCTCCAGCAGTTCTCAAGTTATAAGTGTTGTAACAAACCCGGCTTTGTTTTATATACATACTAGCGAATCACCCTCGCTTCGCTCGGGTTCGTCTCTGGGTTTGTTTTAAATAGATATACATAGTTAATAGCCAGCGCTAGCCATATAATTCTTTTTTCGTTAATTTTTCTGATGTTTTAATACTCATTATCCTATTCCGGACTAAGAGAAATCCAAAAAATCAAATATCATAATAATTGGTCAGCCATTCTAGACTTATAAATGGTGTAACTAACACGACTTTGTTTTATATATATAGATATAGATTTTAGCATGTAGATAAATTCTTTATAAACGTGAGGCGCTATATCCTCATGAATGTAAAGCCAGGGATTGTGAGTGGTCTGGGAAGTATTCCTGTCTCGACACAAAAGTCTGAAACCAGCAAATCAAAGGTGTTTCATATTTTATATTAGGTGTGTATATGTTTTATACCCGGACATTCTACTTTTTGATGTAAAGATCAGTCTTAACTTACCTAATCTATATTTAATATAATTAAGCTGAAGTGTTTGTTTGTTTGTTTGAACGCGCTAATCTCTGGGATTCTCTCTATCTCTACAAGTTGGATTTAATTTTTTTTTATTGATAGCCATTGGGCTATATATATATATATATATATATATATATATATATATATATATATCTTAAGGAAGGTTAGGCTATCTAGCATCACGTTACGGCTTTTATGTTTAAAACAATTATATTCAATAGACTAAGCAAGCGGAGTCGCGGCGACAGCAAGTATATATATCCATCAATAGAAGTAGAATCTTCTTTAAATTAATACGAGACAAAGAAATAATTATAAAAATCGGTTTATTTGGCGAAAATATCACGTGCCTTCTTTTTTAATTAGAATAACACAGTATTAGGATATAGAATAATATTAAAATACCTTATAATATATTTTACCCAGTATTCCCAAACGATTTAACATTTAACTGTGCGAGTATTATCATAACCCAATATAGATACTCTATTCAGTATTATGAATAATTATCTGATGAAACTACTAGCGAAGTTGCAGCAATATAGTACATAATAAACACGTATTTCACCCCAACCCTGCCTCATCGATCATCACGCATCACATGAAAATACCACCGCAGTTTTGTTCGATTACATGTCAGATGTAGGGGACTGTGTATAAACAAAGAATATGGTTAAAATGGTACACGGTGTTCGGTTAAGCCTTTATTTTTTTATTTGATGCAATAATTATAGCTATAGTAAGTCTACGCGCATCTATATATATAAAAGCGAATTTAATCTATACATCGTATGAAACAAACTCGCTGTCTGCGTCTGTCTGTTTCTTCGCTTACCTCTTCATACCACATAATGGATTGTGAAACGATTTTCACTAATAGGAATATCGATAAACCATATTATGTATATAATTTGTAAACAATTTGTACAGAATGAATGAGCCTAGATGGTGTGTGGTCAGCAATAATATTTGCGTACGATTACAAGGCTAACGCTTATTAAATCTTTAGCGATATGTGCATCAAAACAATGCATGTACTAGAAGATTGTAGGTCGTAGGACAGGCCTTCAGAAAAGTTCGCGATAGCATGTTTCTATCTCTTAAGGTACGCTCACAATAACTATTTTTATCTAACATATATA